GCTTTATTATTACTTATTGCAACTCGAATGCATTATACTGTAGATATTATATTAGCAGTTTTCATCACTTATTCTACACATTCCATTTATTTTTTTATTGTTGATCTTTGTATAGAAAAACATTTTCTAAAAATTAAAAGAACGGAAGATATAATTGGTGATAAAGAGCTTTATCAAAGAATAGCTTACATACCAAATATGTTTAACACAAATTTGGTCGGTGTTGTACGGTGGATGGATGGTTTGGACATTCGATTTAGACATGAAGCTGAAAAAATTCGTGATATACATTCAAGGCCGAGTAACGAGATGATGAATGAAATGATTCAAATCGAAATTAGCCAATCTCCTAATGAGGGTGAACCAAGTCACAATCCTAGAAAATTTTAATCTTACAGTAATTACGGACTTTTCGTGTCACATGTTAGACTCTTCTTCGTAGCAATAACTAGTTGAATTATTATTTATATTACGCAAGTTATACCCTAATTTTCTTAGAGTTACTTAATATTATAAAACTTTTTGTAATTAGTACCAAAAATATACGAGATTATTAATTAATATTCTCTCAGCAAACCATTGGAGCTTTAGCTCAGTATGGTATGCCTCAAACAAAAAAAAAAAATTATTTACAGTATATATGATTTATTTATTACATTATTCCACGGGTCTTATGTAACAACCTGTGCTTTTTCATCTTGGTTATTGCACAGGATTGTACGTCAAACACCGTGAAATAATAAAGTTATTGTATGGGTATATGAATAACCGTGACCGAAGGTCACGGTTATTAAACGGCTGACAAAATTTCATTGGCTATAAGTTTCCAAAAAAAGTGGATTACACAAAGACCCATACAGATTGATCTGCAATCCGCATAACAAACGGATTCCATACGGATTTACTAAATTCAGGACATGCGGCTTGTCGACATGTATTAAATGAAAGGTTCAAAAAAAACGAAAAGGTTGAGGTAAAGATATTTGCATTAAACTATTGTATAAATTATTTAAATTTGGCAATCTTTTTAAATGCTGGTGCTCCGAGTGTCGGTCGACGCCATGTTTTAAAGTTATTATTCTTGATGTCGTCTTCATTCTTATTTATTGCCAAAAGAAATTCCTTAACTGTTTGTTCATATGCCAACTAGGAGAACCATTTGAAATTATTTATACAGAATGACAAGAATGACAAGTAATGCAGCATTAAAATTTTTTATTAGTTATACCTCGATGAACGGGTTTCAAAATTAAAATCTGTGGATCTTTTTATTTTTCCAATTTATAATTCAATATGGTAAAATGTTACTGAAAAGATCCTATTTATTTTCGAAATACGCCACTTATTTGTTAATTTTGAAACCCCTAATGTATCTAATCCATTTAAAAACATAGAGCACGTTTCGAAAGACCTTGACAGTTCTACACTGCCAACTTTACAGAAACTTAAAACATAATACGCAGTAACTGAATAGTAATGACGTAGCAATTACATAACAGTCACACGATTTGTCACATCCAAAATTTTATCATATGATTTTTAACTAGCTATTATTTTTTTTTCTAGTATCCACGGGACGTGGATATTTTGAACTTCGTATTACAGCTATTTTCATAAATTCTGTGACAAAATTGACCGCCGAATATTTGCCGATTCGATAAGTTTGTGATTTCGGTATGATAACTGCCGAATCAAAAACTTGTCGAATCAGCAAATATCCGGTCGGTCAATTTTTTGCCAGATGTCCCAGAATTTATGAAAACAGCTGTAATACTGTTTTACCCATTTAATTGTTAACTGTTTAATTTAGCCGGCATTAAGACTATCTTGATTCATGATCAACAGCATTACGAAAAATTTTTTATGCGGTTACCAATTTTAATCGGTTTTAGCATATGAAAAATAAAACCGGTTCCAAACTCTAGTCGAGTTTTCAAGCAGCTTCGAAGATATGAGTATATTGAAAAGTTCTACGGCAAATATTAATAAAGTTAGGATTTTTTGAACTGAATTTTGAGTCCATATCTTTAAACCAGTCGACATAATTCTTGTCCATATCTCATGTAATATGTTTATCATAGCTGTCTATTTTATATCTGGATCCTTTTTACATTTCTTGTCAATATTTAGCCTTTTCTATAAGCTTTTCAATAAGCGTTTTCATAAGCTTTTCTATAAGTTTTAGCACAAACTAAACACACCAACATTCAACAGAAAATTTAATAACATTGAACGTGTTGATATTTACATATAATGATAAAATTATATGTATATCAAGTATATGTTATTTATATATCTTTTATATATTAATATAGGGTAAAAATTACTATAATTTTGTAAATTTTTTATTTTTTTTTCAATGTTAAGGTGATTTCTTTGGCCATGTGAAACTCTTTATTAATAATTATTTGCTATTATAATTACAATGAAGATACAACTAGCTACATGTATACCTTTTGAGTGTCTATTTAAGTAGTTTGCTTACAGATTCTATACTAGATGCCATACCTATAACCCAACTAGGGAATTATCCATTTAAACCTTCTGATCCTAATTATTTTTAAACATATCATACTAATTCAAAAACTACTATCAGCCTATTTTACTAGATTGTATACTCTGTCTTGAAATTTCTTGTAACTTATTTTGGATTTGTATTAACTAATTACTAGCTTGCATTCTTTTATTAAGTAAATATACAAGCTATCCTTGAAGTAAACCTACTAGAGCTTTCTCTATCCTATTTGGGCCAACCTGGTTTTGCATAATTGTCAAAGCTTCTACTTGTAGTTAGGATTATTTTTATTTAATTGCTTTTGCCTTTATAAAGTTCATTTCTAATTCTAGTATTCATATTTAAATTTTTTTTTTTCTGTTATTTTCTTATTAGTTTATTCTTTACTTTTAACTGATAATCTGAAAGATTCAATCTTGGCTTGGTTTTAGGTACTGGTACTTTTGTTTCATCTTAATATATGATTTTCTAGCACATGTCTTTTTTTTTCAATTTAATAAGCTAGTCTTCCAAACATGCTCAGCATTTTTCCATTAGTTACCTAACTTCTATAGCTCTTAGTCTTGGTAAGTAGGACCTCTATTACTGGTTTTTTATGCCAATTAACCAGAGTTGGTATACTCTATAATATCTTACAGATTTCTAACTTTTTAAATTGATGGCCAGGTTAATAAATTCTTCTACTAAAGGATCTTATTATCATTTAGTTCTCTAATCTTAGTTCTAACTTTCAAATTTGAGTCTTTTCTGTAGTATTATTAAAGATTATAGCTACTTCTTACTTGGATCTTCCCAAACAAGTTTCAATTATTAGTCTTTTATGTACTAAAGCTCCTATGTAAACATGATATTATTAAAATTATAGGTTTTAGAATCTAATTAATTAATAGATAATCATTACTATAATACAGCCTTATTTTTTAAAAACATTGTCTGTAAAATTAGAATTTTGAACTTGCCACTTGGTGGAATGATAACTAAACCACTTTACTAAACCACCATATCTATTAATTTTATATTTATATAAGTTTCTGAAGTCAAAATTACATATAATTTTTGTTATATAAATAGCATTGCTCAGAGCTTTCATATAGCTAATATATAAAGTTTAGTAATAGTAGTAAACCTTTTATACTATTGTACTATTTAATGTATAAGTTATATATATATATATATATATATATATACATATATATACATATATATAAATTTGTTACCCGGAAGATCCAGATAACAACGGTCCTCTAACGCTTAATCTGAGGGCTTCTGAACCTTGCGGAGCCGTGCAAGCCGGGCATACGGTGATCGCTATAGAAGACATTTCTCATGTGGTTTCATCTCCAACATCATTAGCCTCCTATGAACCACAACCAATATTACTTCCCCAAAACCTAATCGACCAGCCTCCTACAAATTTCAACTCTGATAATGAACTACTTCCAGACTCTGACCTAGACAATAATTCACTACACAGCCTTGATGATCCCCAACTCGAAACTATTACACAAATAACTGAGGATCTAGGCCTTATAGACCCTCTTACATGTTATAATAAGTTCCTCTTTTACCATAGGCTACCACCACTAGAACACCCTCAAACCATCTTTACCTTTCTCCAATACATCAGACATGACTTTCCCTCCTATTACTCACCAGACCTTATTAAAATTTCAATTTTAAACATCAAAGATCACAATCATGACTATATCGAAGCACATATTTATCTTCCACATGAGACATACCCACTCCCTAATCACTTTATACCCCCCTTTTCTCACCTTCTTAACTGGTTTCGCTATGTTCCTCTCAAATCGAAATCTTCCTCCCCAATACCACAGAAATCTTATCAACATCCTGGGCTACCCAGCCCTCTCAACCTTTCCATATGTACTCACAACATTCGTGGCTTCAACCAAGATCTCAAACGACAAGTCTGGGAACATTACTGCTTATCCAACAATTTGGACATAATTTGTCTTACCGAAACCAAACTTGCTAATAACCATCTTACCTCCAAATCTCTCAAAACCCAACACTATACTTACTTCTGGTCATGCACTGATAGTTCCAAAGCTGGAACTGCTATTATGGTCCGCAACTCCTTAACTCCCCATATTCACAAAATAACCTCTATCCCTGGCTATGCTCTTTTAATCGATTTGTTTTTCAAACATGATTTCAAATTTCGTATTATTTCAACCTATCTTCCCAACGACAACACTACTCTCCGCCTTAATACTCAAAACACTATTATTCAATGGTTACAAGAAGCCCACACACTTAACCTACTTCCTATTACACTTGGAGACTTCAATGCCTCCAC